TAAAATTTTCGAGGGGGACGCAGTACAGTTAAGGTGGAGTTAAGGTGCGCAGTGGAAATATCGACTAAATTTTGTATTTAAAAATGTATTCGTAATCGGGATGGCGATTATTTCTAGTACATTATTTATATCGGATAATTGTAATTATGATTAATAACTACATATCGAGGAAGATTATATTTTACATTTAGACAAGTCACGTAATGCGGGAGTCACGCGATTTTAGCACATTGACTTGATAGTACATATAAATATCACTATTGCAAGGGCATAACCGAGTTAAATTTCCAAGTTTGGTATATACATATTTCAATACGCATTGTAGTTTCTAAAAAGTGCTGCGATCCTGCCTCAGTTCTGAAATTTCATTGTTAAAATTATACTTGTATGACCGAATGCTATATATTTCGCTGGTTAGCGGCATGAAATATTGATATGTTTTTTAGATTTCCTCAGCATCGCAGCACTTTTCAGATACCTTAATAGTTCTATAGTTGAAATTTAAAAGCTTACTTTATCAATAGAGTGTATGCCCTTGCACTCGTTCGATTTATTAAGACCCCGTACATAACCCTCCTATGTACTTGCATAAAAATATACGGCAGTGTCTATTAAATACGTAATGTACAGAAAATATATTAATAAAATAGTGAAGAGGACATTAAATTCAAGTTTTTGGCCCACAGAATATCTGTAAACTATATTTTATTTAATTAGAGAATACATATTTTGTTGAGAAAATAAAACTTGATCTGTCTCTCGCTGCATACAAACTACGTCACATTGTAAGAAATGACGTCATATTGACAAGTGTATTACAATCAGTGACTTGTTTATAACTTGCTATGTGGGATTTAACTAACGACAAAACAACTCGCTGTAAGTTTTTATGCAGTTTGATGATTTCTTACTGGTTAAATTAACAAATAAACTCATTTTATGGTATATGAAATGTTGTATGACGTATATTGTGAATGATGTCATATTCAAGTTTTCCCGTACAAATTAGTCTCCGCTTCCTTTTTGTAACCTTAACTGTGCTGCGGAGGTTTAACAATATACAATCAATCAAACAATCAATAGAAGACCCATCTCCCCAACAGCATAGGTCAACAAGACTTAGAGTCAGACCAAAGTTGACAGAGGACTTTGTTATGCCTCAACAATTACAGTCACAAGGATGGTTACAGAGAGCAAGATATTTTCAGACGTAAGTGGCTAACGGAGAACTCGCCAGTATGGATAAAGATGCCGCGAAAGTACTTGTATCAATAAGTAAGATACAGGTAAGTGATATTTTATCCTTGTTTTATGATAAAATTTTTTTTTACAGTATTTTTGTAACATTATCGGGTTTGGTCAATGGCACTGACGCCATTCTTGCACAAGGGGGGATATGTCATATACGCCGGGGTCCTATGGTATCGCGGTAGTTAACCTATTTTGTAAAAATATCTACCATACCTGGGATATTTCAAGAAAGTAATATCATTTTAAGTTTCTTCTACTATTTATCTATATTTCTTGTTCTGATGTTGAATTTTCATCTTGTTGTTTATTTACTAGAGCTATCGAAAAGAAGTACCATTGTTTACCTTACTACGCGAAAGAGTTCTATGCTATCGCGGTATCCGGTTGACACTAGACTATGGCAGCCTAGCAGTGTCATATTTGAAAAAAATATAAGAGTGCAATTTAACTATGATATGCCTATAATTTAATGACTTTGTTGTAATTAAACTTTTATGATATTGTACTTCAAAGTGAAATAAAAGATTATCAACCATTGAAGTATATGTATATTTAAGAATTGGGGGGGGGGGCAATTGGAAGTAATGTACTTACCCTTCCACCCACTTGTACATTGAAGTGGAGATATAAAATTATTTTTAGACTAATAGGATTTTATCCCTTGTTTTAACTTTTATAGGGTATTTAAGAACAAAATAGATTATAGTTGCTTTATAGGCAGACATTCTTCATTTACAAACACCACATGTTCTCTCCAGACATGCAAAACTCTATTGAATTCTTCAATATCTCTCTTTCTTTTTACACTAAAAAAAAGGATATGAAAAGTAGTAGGCAAATATTTATACAATGTACAATAATCATTGTTTTTTTAATATAAAAAATGCAATAAAAAGAAAATTGACACAAATATTTAAATAGAAAATAAAAAAATTAAAAGTAACAAATGGTTAATATTTAACATGTATCTATCGGTTTGATATTTTCCTGAACTTAAAAAACTGCTGCATATTTTTTTTTATTGGTTTAACTTTGAATTTTAATTCATTAAATATATTTGTTTCTCTAGTGAAAAATATTTTTATAAAAAAAGAAAAGAAAAAAGCTATATTTGATAAATAATTTGTAATGTTTCAACTCGAACTGAGGTGTTCAATTTTTTTTTACCAGCAAAAACAATTCTCAATTTTTTGTTAATTTTTTTACAAAAACTGTTTTCCATACTTTTAAATTTTTTTGACACTTCCATAAAAGGAAAACACGTGATGTTTGAAGCCTCGTTTTCATAATAAACACCAAACTACAGCATGTCCCGATTCAACTTTGTTATCCTAGTTTTTTCATCGTTTTCATGGTGGTATATATCACGTAGTTTTCGTAAAATTTATCAATGTCGACAAAAGTGCAAAAATATTACAGAAATGAAGTTAACAAATCAAAGGATGCGAAATTCTGCTAAAAAAAATTGTCAGGGAATACAAGGTGGCTATGTTTATAATGTCTAAAAATATCTGACAATCACGTTCCGTTTTCAGCGCGTGCCAGCTAATAAACAGAAATACCGCGATACCATAGAACCCGCGATATCATAGGAAGAGAGTACATGTACTCATGTTTTAATATATTATGCATATGTGCATAGCGATCCATATTGCATTTGCATCTATTCATTACTTTTTAATGTTTATGTTTTATTTGCAGCACACTTCTACAGCTGAATTACATAATTATTCATTTAAGCTGTAGTTAAGGTCAAGATCTAGTAAATGAAAGGTGCCTACAGATTTATCAAACTTGAGAAATAAATTCCTTTATTGATACTTTACAACTTTAGCTTGGTCAAATAAGGTGTTTCGGGGCATAATTTGTAGGTAAACAAGATGAAAAACTGTATTTTAAACTTTCATTTTTAATGAAAACTTTAGAAAACCAGTCATGAATACGGGAGTTTTTTTCGTATTCGGCAAAGGAAATGTATCCAGATTGCCTACAGTCTCTCAAAAAAACGGTAATTATCATGTTCATGGCCTCTGCTTTAAATCAATATCAAATTTAATATGGGTATCCGGTATACTTTTCATATAATTTCAAATTGAACGACATGAAAATACCCCATTTTCTACATAATTCTGCTAAAGCCGTAAAGTACGGGAAAAAAAAGTTGAAATTAATTATGACGTCATAATGGATCTAGCACCAAAAATAAGTCTCAAGTTATTTACTAGATCTTGACCTTAAGTGTATTGATTTTAAATGATTCTTTTCCAAAGAGGTCCAGAGTTAGCCCCAGGGCTCCTGTACGCAGTGAGCTGTTAACTATGACAATAACAAGAAATTGTTTTTTTTTTAATCAATAAATGCAGTTAATTAGTTTATTACCAATAATGGGACACATGGGATAAATTATCCAAAGTTTAATTTCCCAATATTGTTGAATGCCCTGGCATACTATAGTAACTAGACAGTGATTCCTTATATTTCCATTTCATTGTGAAATAATTTTGTAGACTTAGACTTTAAAAAATGCAGACAAACATTAAAATTACACGAGGACTCCCATCCAAATTTCAATAGTTTTCGCCCACTGACGTCAAACACACCCGCAGCCGCACGAGATTTATATGCATATTTGGCCTCAGCGTCAGACTCAGAGACAGATGCGAACTAGATTTGCATGCATATTAGCCCTCCTTAGCTCATGACCTATTGGCTTGGCTAATTTACATTCCGATAAAATTATCAAGAAATTAACTCTGCTAACTTTCAAAGAGTTATCAAAGAGAGAAAAAGGTTAGAAATGGAAGTATATTGATTATAATCAAGTTTGACCCGAGTCATGCCCCTCTGAAATCTAAGTTAGCAATTGATGTGTCTTCGGTATTTTTCATCAATAATTTTCTATTTATTTTTAATTAAGACCTAAAAAAACATTCATTATATACAAAATACGCCATCCAGCCTAAAATCAAACAAACCATACGTTAGAATTTCCATCTGTAGAAACGAGCATTGCACTTTGTTTATTGTTTATGACTTTCCAATTGCAAGTACAAGGTAAAGTTAATCCTACTCATGCTCTTCTTTATCCGAGTTTCCTTATTGAGAACTCTGAGTCGTCATTCAATAACATGACATGGAAACTATTTTTTTTTGCCAATTTAATCCACACAAAAAACTATTTAAATTCGTTTTCAAGAGGCTTATGAATCGAATAAGTTGTGTCTTTTAAAGGGCCTTTTTTAAAAAAAAAATTATATTAAATTTTTCAAGTACCAAACACAGAATTTATAATATTTTTACATTTTAAGCTAACCTAAGCTGAAAGCTCAAATGAGCAAACTAACCCACTTGTTATTTCTATACTCAAAGATTTCTGGATAGTGAAACATAATAAAGGGGAATAATCGATTGTGTTGAACCTACTTTTGATTGTTAGTTTGGATGTTGAATTTCAAAACTCGAATTTCGAATCTCGTATTTCGAAACTTGGATCTCGAATAAGCCTTCTGGGCTTTCGTAATTTACTTTCCATGATGTGCATTTTTTTAGTTACTTAAAATATATCATAAAGAGTTCTATAAATGAGAGAATCTAAAATATATTCAATTGCAACTCATATTGCTATTGCAATTGCACCGATGTATGTTTCATTGATGGACACAATCATGTTCAAATAAGATTATTAAGTGGATGCGAATATTCAAAGTTTACAATTACCTTGATTGAGATTTACCTTGATTGAGATTTACCTTGATTGAGATTCATTTCAATGTCCGTGCTATTTACAATAGCATCCACACAAGCTAGTGTGATGTCCCCTTGATACATGCTAAGTTTAGTTAATCCAACATTTACGGAGATCTCTTGTTCACTATCGGAACCAATGGTCTCATTCGCAATTGCTCCTTCGTGACGTTAACCACGAGTTCTTGGCTTCAAAGAAGCATTTTCTCTGGCCCTTTTGTTTATTTCCGTTTCAAAAACCTGTTCAAATTCAGGAAATCTTTAAAAATTATTTTAGTAAAATTTAATTATATAAGCCATTACAAGATTTCAAAATTTTTCATGGTTAATTTATGCTTTTAAGAAAAACCTTAAGTTCTCACACCAATAACTGCTTTAACTAGCTTATAAACATATTAATTAAAATATATGTACAGTAAAACAAAGCAATGACTTGCGTGAATAGAAGGTTTATCTTTCTCGTAAATAACAAACTCCACATTTTTCAAACAAGTAGTTGGATTGTTCCTTGCGAATCTGACAATGGCGTTGCACATTTCTTCTGCTACTATTTCTTTTGGGTAATTAAGGTTACCGGTTCCCAAGGCAGGGAAGGCAATACTAAACAGCTTCTTAGCTTGCACTTCGGTCAAACAGGTCTGCATAAATTTCTGAAGCACCTTTCAGAGATATAAATACAAAATAATTACTGATATTATAGTTGGAATCTTCACTTTTTATTTACATTTTGTTAAAATATATTGAAGTATTTGATTTGTAGTCTTACAATTGCAGGTGACTAAAATACTTCACCGAGTATAATTCAGGATTTTTGAATTTGAGATGCCATCAAATCCCGTCATACAAATACCAAGAGTTATTTAAGGGATAACGGTCTATGCAAATTATCACGCAAATCAATCGATTGGTCATCGTCTTGAAATGGAAACATTGGACAATAGTTATCATTCCTTATATTAATGTGTTTTTGATTCCGCCAAATCCACGTGCTCCAAGAGTTGCTTCTGTCTAGCTATTTGTCCTGCCATGCACGTGATTTTGTTAAGCGCGCCTATTGATGAACCAATAAATTGATGGAGAAATAATATACATTTACTTTTGTAATTTAATCTCGGACAAAGACATTGGAAATGTAAATATTTTCACATTATAGCATTGTGAAACATTTATCGTCTGCATTCTTTGTCTCTCAAAGTAAAAACCTAAAGCAACTTCCACCAGAGGAAATTATAGATAGTTGAAGACTTGTGTTGTATAATTCTAAATGAAAAATTCTGTTATCTGAGAGATTCCGACACATTTTTGATTTCACAAAAAGGTTTTATTAGTTTTTTTTAAAATTTTCCTTGAAGATAAAATTTTTTCTATTTAAGTATTTTTTTAACAACAAAAAAAATTCCTACAGGAAGAAATGTAAGAGTGGAAAATGCTTTGTACTTTCAATTCTTATAGGTAAGTTAAATTTTTTTTTATAATATTTGATTTTTTTGTTCAGAAAAACAATTTACTAGTCTGCATCTTTACAACCATGTGGAATATAATACCAGTTGTATCCGCTGTTTAGATGTTCGGTTACAAAAAGCTTTCCTTAATTTTATTTAACAATTAGCAAATATCTTCCATGGCGCTTTATGTAGTAGTTGTTGATACTAAAGATATATCACCGATTTGTTTAAATGTTCATTGCACTACACTTTACATACTGTTAATCATCAATTACAAACCCCTTTTGATCCCCCTTTGGCCTGGTCCCAGTTTGGAAGAGCTCCATGAAATATAAGCTTGCAGTTTAAATTTCAGCCGCTGGTGACTGAAATTTGCCCAAAGTCGATACCACTTGGGTATTTAGAAGAAAATTCATGCTGGATGCTTATACCTCCATATTTAAGGATGGAGGCTGAAACACCTCCTTGATTTAGATTTAAATTTTTTGCTACTGTATTAACAATGACATCAACCTAAAATAATACAGTGTAATTCAATTTTCATAAGTTAATGAATTTATTGGTTAAATTCGTGATATTTTGAGATTATATAATTCAAAAAATTGACAACGAAAACATTTAATTAAAAGATATATCATATTCTATTGGGTATAGTTTATTCTGTAGACCAAAAAAATGATATCGATGAAATTTTTAAATTCCTTTGATGTACCTTGCCTAGATGTTATTTATTGTAGACTTCTATCTGTGAGTACTTTGATTATTCATCAAGCTCGTTAAAATACCAATCAACCCAATTATTGTAAAATATGGTCAAAATTTAGTATCATGATGCTCCATGTTACTCGTATTCTGTACACCAATACCTTTTTTTCAAAAGCTGCACATACCTTCGTTTGAGCCATTTGACCTCTCATTAATTTTATAAGAATGCAACCTGCTTTAAATTTTGTTTCATGTGACTGTGACTGAGTTTGTCCTGGTATAAAAATGAATGTAATATAAATTTTCATAAGCAACAGTAACATTAAGGGTCGTCCACACAATGTGACTCGTAACCTATATAGTGAAAAAATACTTTTACTTCCTGTTTTATCTAGTTTGTTCCATTGATCCTCTGTGCGCAATTACAGCAGTAGCCATATAAGGCAAACAAAGGTTTGTCAATGTAGATGATATTACACATTTTTTACCAGCGTATCAGTTGCTAGTGAGCTGTAATTTTTGCAGTAAACTATGATAAGATTAATAAGTATTTAAAAATTGTTATTTACCCCCCCCCCCCCACAACCCATTTCTGTTGAAAATCATGAAAGTCTTTCTGAAAGTTGTGTAACCACATTTTTCACAGGACATGTTTTCAGAAGAAACAGACTATAGCAATTTTCTGTTTACTGCCAATTATATTTATAAAACCGGTTCCACTCTATGACCTTTGATTAGGTAAACTTAAACCACGTGTCTTGAAATTAAATCATAATATCATTAGTAGGGGTGTGTAAGAGAGTCTTACAAACGCTTAAGAGATAAAAGATTTGCAAAGAGAAAAGTTTGCATTACACTGCATGAGAGCAATACCCTAACCGTAAAAAAAGGAACACATGGCATGATCACGGAGAGACCGACGGAAATAAAAGAACAACATACGTCTGGGATTATGTTACATAATAATTCGAAAACAACCGGAGCCGGTTTGACGAGAAACGTTTAAGTTATTTATATTTTCAGTCTGATCAACCGATTCTGTTTGATACATGTAGTTGAAATTTTTGCACACTATATTTGTGCGTTTCAATAGTACATTATCTCATTATGTGTCTATGAATATTGATAAAATAGTGTGCGTTTCTGGTTTTCCGATTTAACTCTCCAGTTCAGTGGCCAATAATGAGTAAATATAGTATGGTGACGTAAGCGGAGATTTGCCAAAGTATTTGAGTCCCGGGCAACATGAAAAATAACCCCAGAAAGGAAATTTGATACCAAAGATTTTGAAAATATTTCTTTCCGTCCAAACGTACTTCTTCCACAAAGATTTGTCTTTCGTTAAACAGAAGTGGAGTTTTTTGTAGAACATTTGAAACAACTGGAATAAAATATAAAAGATTTGTACAACTTCTAGAAATAGGATATATTATGCAAGTTAACCCATTTTTATTCATACATACCATAAGCATCTTCAAACCATATAATAGCACTGTTGGTATCTTCATCATACTTCACCCTTTTCACATCTCCACCCCCACACATTCTACGATTTTCAAAGAAAAGTTTTATTTGTTCTTCTGAAGTTCCTGGAGGAAGCTTTGTAACTTTAATTGCTCCTCCTTGATCCTCTTCCACATCTGAACTGTTTCCATCATCATGACAATATTCCTTTACTTCTATATTTTGTTGTTTATCATCAGTGGCTTTGAAGCATGCTTTTGTAGCATGCTTGTTGTCCCCCGCTTGAAAAGTGGGGGATATTAATTTGGGTTTGTCCGTCCGTCCGTCCGTCCGTCTTTCTGTCTGTCTGTAACGCTTTCGTTTCCACACGATATCTCGAGAACCCTTTGAGCCTTTGCAATGAAATTTAGCATAGCAACTCCCTATGGACTAAAGAAGACCCCTATTGATTTTGAGGTCAAAAGGTCAAAGGTCAAGGTCATAAATAAGCAAATTCTATCTGTTAAAACACTTTCGTTTCCACACGATATCTCTAGAACCATTTGATCTATTGCAATGAAATTTTACAAAACAACTCCCTGTGGCCTATTGAAGACCCCTATTGATTTTGAGGTCAAAAGGTCAAAGTTCAAGGTCGTAAATTTACACATTCTGTCTATGTGTAACACTCTCATTTCCGGGCGATATTTCAAGAAGATTTTGAGCTTATGCAATGTAATTTTATACCAAAACTCCCTAGGACGTCTGTTCGCCCCTCTCAAAGTGCCCCGCCCCGTTTGTTTTATTAGTATTTATAGTATTACATGTCGCTATTTTTAGCGCAGGGGCATGAGGAGAGTTATTGCGTATAAAACAGGTTCTCGGCGGACTTTATGTTCTTATTACATCTATTAGAACTGTTTAATAATGGCTAAATAAATCAAACACCATGGATTGTGTAAAATTTTGAGAATACCGAACATGAATATATACATGTATGTGACTTTAGTTCTGCATATACTTGACACCGGCTAAAGCGATTTCGTGGTCTAGTGGTTATGTCACTCGCTTCACATGCGAGAGGTCCCGGGATCGAATCTCGGTCGAACCTGTCTTTTTTTTTCTTTTTTTTTTTAAATACTTTTCTTTTTTTTATTAGATGATAGTATTCAGCATGTGAAATAAAAAATTTATGAGGTTATAAAATCATCATTACAGTGTGATAAATATTCCATATAAAAAGAATCTTCTATACACATAATACAGAATAAGCAATCAAATCTTTATATGCATATTGACATACATGTATTTTATTTGCTTCAGTATACATGTATACATTTAATAATTCTACAAATTCAGTCAGGGGGATCCGACTTTTTCCCTAAGCGGGGGACACGAATTCTCTGAATTAGCTTGTTACAACTGTAACGGGTTTGATTTTCATCAATTAAATAAATATAACTATACGATAGCTGAAAATTGAGTAATTAGTATCCGTCCATCTTATATGTTGTTTCCTTTTTTAGAGGAAAAAAATTCTGCTTATCAACCTCTTGTTAACAATGTTTTTTTAAGTATAATAAAATGGACTAAAATGAATTACAATTTCTACCAGAACATAATGTCCATATAATATGTACCTTGGTAGTCTTCAAACCACACAATAGCACTATGAGATGCATTATCAACCTCCACTTTATATACTTCCCCGCCCCCACTTCTCTTGTTATTTTCAAAGAAAAGAGTGATGTGTTCTTCGGAAATTTCCAAGGGTAAGTTTGTTACTTTGATTGTTCTTTTATGATCTAGTCCCTGTAAATTTTTAATACTGCTTTCTTGAGGAGGAGGATATTCCTCTACCTCTATTTCTTGCTTGTTCATCTTTAGTGGTGAGATTCTATCCCTCTGTAGAACGCTGGCTACAGCTAGTAAGCAAAACAATGTCCTGATTAAAATCCACATATTCTTTATGCTGTTTTTATATGCACCAAATAAAAATATCAAATTTTTGGACTTTCTATCCACAATCAAATATTAAGCAAATAAATGAAAAAAAATATTAAAATTTAACCTTGATAAACAGAAAACAATGAAATGAAATTCTTCCCACTTACTTTCAGCATCTTTAAATCATATAACTGCACTGCCTGTAGCTTCATCAAACTGTACTTTTTCTACTTCTCCACCTCCGATCTGTTGTTTGTACATGAGCAAGGGTGAACTTTCATGCTTTTTCATAACATTTTTGACCACTGAAAAAGAGGGATTCTCTTTTCAGATTAAAAAAACAAATCAGAAAAAGACACCAGAATCTATTTCTGTATAGCTAAGATAAACAAAGGTATGTAAAATGGTGCATTTTAGAAAAGCATGTTTCGAAACATGTTTGGTAATTTTTACAGCAGAAATATATATGACAACCTTTAGTTTTGCAACGCAAATTTTTTTTTCAAAACATTTGACCGGTCACAGTAGCCTAGTGGTAGAGCGTTCGTTTCGTGATCGGGAGGCCCAGGTTCGATTCTCAATCGCGGCTCTGCGTCAAACCTAAGACATAAACATAGGTACTGACTGTTCCTTCACCAAGCGCTCGGCCCTAGAAGTGAAAGTCACGGGTCTTTTGAATATGACCTTAAAAACGTAGGTCCCGTGTCACGATAGGCGTTAGCACGATAAAGGACCCTCACTACTAAATTTCACTTAGTGCCGATTATAGGTCTAAATTTTAAGCCCTTCACCGGCAAACGGTGACGTCTCCATATGAGTGAAAAATTCTCTAGTGGGATGTAAAACAATATACAATCAATCATTCAACACATTTGTACGGGTTAAAAATATTGGGAAAAGTTAAAGTTTAAATATTCTGTAAATAACACACATGATTTACGATTAGAATCCTCGAAGGTGACGATGGCTGCTTAGACAAAGACACAGGTCCACCCCCATGTCTTTTCTCATTTTCAAAAAAATCGGAAATAAACTCCTCGTTTACTCTGTCTGGTGGACATGTTACTTTGATATTGACACATTCATCAGCAGTCTGGTTTTCAGTAGGAAATTCGGTCTGATTGGATGAGTAATCTTAAATGATGAAAAAATAAAATAACAAATCAATATCATTATTAAATAATAATCAGGAAAATCCAGAACGAAGCCCTTGTTTTATACATGTTAAGAACTCCCTATCGAAATTTAACTCCCCTTCTTAAAGTCCTCAAAGCCCCCCCCCCCCCACCACCACCACCTGGAATCGTGCATTCTCTTTTTTTCCTTAAGCAGAGGACGCATAATCTCTGAACTAGTTTGTTTATTTTTTACCCAAACTAAAAAATACATAATTTTAATTTCTTTTCAGTTGTGGTGTGTTTGCACAGGAAGATGTTATGTCAATTAATTAAATTGTTTAAATATTCAGAAGGAGGGAATATAGTCTCTTTTTTAAAACAGCTGATAATAAATGATCCCCAATCGATCTGGCTTATATCATTAATCGATTAAACTAAACAGATTTGCTGATTTAAAACTGATTTCACGAATAGTTCCAATAAAAGCTGCACATACAGTAAATGTTAACAAGAGGCCCATGGGCCACATCGCTCACCTGAGAAACTTTGGCCAGACTGTTCTTTAACAGATCCCCCCCATTTGTAATACAAATTGTGACTAGCCCTTCCCAGGGGTCATGATTTGGACAATTTAGATTCACACTACCCCAAAGTTTCAGCTTTTCTGGCCATATGGATCTTGAGAAGAAGATTTTCAAAGATTTTTCCATAAATATTTCAATGTAAAACTTGGATTCCTATTTTGGCCCCGCCCTACCCCAGGGGGTCATGATTTGAACAATTCAGAATCTACACTACCCAAGGGTCTTTTCACATAAGTTTCAGCTTTTCTGGCCCAGTGGTTCTTGAGAAGCTGATTTTTCAAGTTTTCCCTATATATTTCTATGCAAAACTTGGATTCCCTATTGTGGCCCCGCCCTACCCCCGGGAATCATGATTTGAACAATTTAGAATCTACAATACCCCAGGATGCTTCCACATTAGTTTCAGCTTTTCTGGACCAGTGGTTCTTGAAAAGAAGATTTTTTAATGACCCCACCCTATTTTTGTAAATTATTATCTCCCCTTGGAAGGGAACTTGGCCCTTGATTTTAACAATTTGAATTCCTCTTTACCCAAGGATGCTTTGTACCAAGTTCGGTC